GGAGGTCTTTAGCAACCTTCTGATGGTGGGTGTGGTGCAAGATGTTGACCCGAACGGCCATGCGTTCCCAATAAGCAAGTTGACCCTTCTTCCAGACTTGCGGCCGGATATGATCAACCAGAGGTGCAGATCTCATCAAAATGTGATGGCCTCGTCCTTGTGTAGGATTGTGCAACAACTGGGTCAAGTATTGCTCTGTTTGACTCGCCCATCGGGCTAAATCGGAGCCCAGGCCAGTGATGGGAATGCCAGCGATGGAAAAGGGGCCGTCGGCTTCTTGGAAAGATGTCCAGCACTGAGGCAAGGAGTGCACCTTGCCGATAGGCGGAAAACGTTGTAGCTGCTGGACTTCCACATCCGGAGAGTCGCAACTCAAGGTGAGAGCGAGCCCACAATGTGGTTTCCAAGGCACTTCCCAATCAGCCGTGAGTTGTACCGAGCTGAGCAGGGCATTCGAGATCAGCAGGTAATCAAGTTGTGATCCATGTAAAGTGGTGGCCTGCTGAGTGTCCAAAATCTGGCAATTGAATTTGCTCAGGATCACCGTGGCCGCCATGGAATCCGGAGAGTTCTGCCAGTCTCCTACAATGATGAAGGGCGCATGGGTGTGATCCAGCAGGTTGAGCAGCTTGGAGAGCAGGTCTGCATTCAAGGGGGACTGCAAGGATTCCCCGGTGCGGAGGTAGACCTGGATGAGCAGGATGAGGGTCCCTTCTCGCTGGAGGCCCAATGCCGTCCATCCATTGCCTTCCTGGGTGTAGGTTTGAACATGATGAGTCAGATGGCGTTGGCCATGGAGAGTGAGAAATCCTCCCGTGGTGCCTCCATTTCCAGTGGGGCTGGCCTCAACGCCATAGGCCTTCCATCCTCTGGTGGTGAAGTACTGCAAGGCCCCTTCTAGTGCTTTGGCTCCCAGGTGAGTCTCCTGTAGGAAGAGAAGATGATCAGGTTTGGTCCAAACCCAATCCTGAACTTTGTGACCAAAGTTGGTGACATTGCCAAAGAACAGGCGCAGGGTCTCATACTGAGTCCTTGGCTTTTTAAGGACCGGCTCCCAAGCTTCCAGAGCATCCGGCTGCAGCTCGTCCAAGGTCTCCAGGATGAGCCAAACCTGAACAACTTGGGCCAGATGTGCCTGTTGGAGCTGCGGTAGCGGAACCGGATATTGGTCGTCATCAGCAAACCAATAGGCATTGTCCAGACAGTGAATGGCTGTGTAGTGCCCATTCTCATGTCCTTGACCTTGGTGCAAGATGAGGCTGATGACCTTGTAGGTGGCCATGTGGACATGGATGCCATCATCAGAATATGGTAGGCGCACCGTGACGGGAATGTCGACCGGGTGCTCATGTTTAGTCCAGGATCCCTCCACCTGCTGGAATCTCTGAAGGTGGAGAATGAGGGCCTCAGGCGTCCCATACAGGTATTGTCCTCGATCTTCATTGGACCAAAAGTTGACGAGGTCGTCGAGGATGGGCCGCTGCATGTCCGGGGGAAAGAGGAGATTGAGCGGGACTTGTTCGCGCTCCTCCAATCTTCCATTTGAGTGCAAGTGATAGAAGCGGCCGCCAAAGAATTTGGAGCCCGAGTTCTCCCATAGGTGGCCAGTGAAAAGGCCGACATCATCTTGATGGCCTGGTTCAAAGCGCCGCCAAACATGTGATAGGCCTTCCAGGTCCGTCAGGGTCTGGGGTTCGTTGCTGGAGAGAAAGTGTCTTGCGGCTGAGTGTGTGGAGCCCCAAGCCAAAGTGAGCTCATCCGCAAAAGCCCCGGCCCAGCACCAGCACCGAAAGGCTGCATTGCCAAAACATAAGTTGTGTGGGTTGCTGAGGATGCTAGTCAGACCTTGGGACAGGACATATGGATTGCCCATCATGGGTGCCATCTCACCAGGTAAAGCCATTTGCTTCAAAAGCACCGCTTGCATTCGCTTGAGATCCACCAGCAGTTGTTGTCCGGCGTGAAGGGATGGCTGAGTGCCATATCGTTCACAGGATTGCTGGAGTTCTTTCTGACAAATTTGAAAAAGTCCGTGCTGACCCGGAGTCAGGTAAAGCTCAGGAGGAGCTGCCTCATCCACATTCATCATCAACTGCCAAAGGCGAGCCAAGGTCTCAGGAGGCAGGGTCCCGTGGGATGCAATGCTCTGAAGAGCTTGCACTGAGGTAGAACAGCTCGGTGCCCCGCTCCAGTCTTGGCTCACTGCGGCAGACTGAGAAGGCTGACTGCCTCCTCGTAGCTTGGGCGGCTGCAAGTTGCGGACAGGTCCATAAACCCCAAGGTGGAGCGGGTCCGAACAGCTTGAGCCTGAAAAAGCAAAGGTGTCAAATTCATAGTGCTGCACAGCCGTTTCAAAGGTCTGTGAGTTCCCCGTGTCCATGTCCATGCATGGAGTGTCCCCGTTGGTTGCAAAGGATGAAAGAGCAAGCTGCAAAGCCATGGGTGTTACGTTACCCACACGACTGGTCCTTCTCTTCGTCTGCCGTCTTCCTGCGTTTGGGGTCGTCCTCATTGGTGGCCGGCGGCCGCTTCAGCATGGTTTTCAGCTGGTCATGCTGTGCCTGGGTGAGGTTCACGCCCAACGTGCTGATGAACCCAGCTACAGCTTCTGGCACCGGGTCTTTCATGTCAGCATCTTCTGACAGCTGTACAGGATCAGGTTGTTTACTGACCAAGGACATATACGCCGTGCTAGTGGTGTTCAGCTCGGCTTGCTCTTGTTCAATCTTGCTCTGGATTGTCTTCATTTCTTCAAGGAGGTCCTGGAAGGCCTTTTTGGTGGCGTCAATCTTCGTCTGCAAGTTCTGCTTCCGATGTGATAAATCTCTCAAGGTGGAGACTTGCTGTTTGAGCTTGGTGGCCACATCCTTTTCGGTGGGTGGTTGCGGCTTGGTGATCTTCTCCACTAGCTCTTTGACCGGCGCCGGGAGTTGTGACAGATTGTCCTTCAGGACAGCTTCCAAGTCTGGTTCTCTGTCTTCCTGAGGTGGAGAGATGCCCAGCTCCTTGAGCTTGCCTTGCAGTGTGGCGTCAAGCTTGTCCCATGACGACAGCAGCAAATCGCCTGTCTGCTTCTGGATCTTGGCCGTTTTGCCACTACCATGCCATAGTCCTGGAGGAGGAGTGACACTTTTGGTGATCTTCCATCGAGGATTGGCACGAGGGGCCGGGGATCGAGCTGCATAGCCCTGCTGTGGCTTGGTCCATGCGGATCCGCATTGCCTGCAGACACATCCCTCACGAACCCGATCGTCCCAAATCCAGTTCCGGCATCCTGCATGTCCGCATACTTGGTAACTGCGTCGTCGTCCATGTTCCATCTGCAAGCGAGCTCTGCCAGGCCACCAATCTTGGGTGCAAAAGCGTGGAAGGTGTCCCCGCGAAGTGCCAAGCAGAGGGAGCTTGAGCCTCCTTGAACCAGAGCGGCTTGAGCCTTAAGCCCTGTTGAATATATACAGTACATAAGTATAAATATATATATATATATATCCATAGACCGTCCTGCGGCAGCACGTATATTTGTTTGGGATACTTTCCTTGTTTGTATGAGACGAGGCAACACGCAATCTGATGGCCATACTGATTTGTGAAGAGGCTTGGTTAAATAAATAACCAAACAAAACATGCAAGAAGTAGTCCATAACCCTCATCAACACCTTTTTGTCCAAATTCCCCCAAAACAAACGTTAAACAAAGGTACCAAAACAATTTTGGAAGCAGACTGTTTGAACAGTTTCCTCAGCTTCAGTCAAAGCGTTTCTTCCAAGTCTTGGCGCGGAGTGAGTGAGGGCTTTCACCCGAGGAACAGCTTCACAGGAACAGCTTTCAATGAGACTTTCGACGAGAAAGGAGCGGGGCCGACCGGCGTCAAACGAAAACTGAGCTGGGGCTCTGCCGCAAACAACTCTTTGTGAAATGGTCAACCTAGAAAACACCATGTTGGTGTCATATTTTGCGCCGGTTCCGCAGTGTATTTTGCAGGTTTCCCTGTTGCGTTATTAGTGTGTTGTTTTTGCTTGTTTGTCTTATTGGGGGTTTTGCAATGTGCCTTTCGGCTTTGCAATGTCGCAATGTGTTATTAGGCTCTTCCTCGTTCAATCAAGCAACAAATAAAAGTGCACAAAATGAAATAGTGAACACTTTCAGCTTGAAAAGCCAGATTTGAAACACACGCAATCAGGCTAAGCTCCTTGGGCCTTGTGGGTTAGCCTTTTGAAAGATTGAATAAGCAGTTTTTTGAAGGCAAGAATCAAGAGACAGGCATGGGCAACATTCATGCGAGGTTTCAATATTGTTGTAATACAATGTTCACTAAGTCATTGATGACGTCTGACCTTGTCTCTCGTCTGCCGTCTTCTCTCGTCTGACTACCTTCTTTCATCAACCCCCTTCCCCCTTTTCAGTCTTGTTTATATAATCATACGATTGATGGCTGAATGATGAACATCGTTTGACACAGCCAACACAGTCTGAACTCATGATCGGCACCTCCAAGAACAAACACATGAACAAAAGCCCCCACTGGTCAAGCACCCAAGTACCCGCTGTTGTTGTAGCAACCCAGATCCCAGCTTGAGGTTTGCATTTGAGTTTTACGTTGTTTTTTTGTTTGAGTTTCAATTTGTTTCTGTTTTGTTTCTTCCTAGAATCTGGCTCAGAGTCCTCCTTTATGGTTGAGACATTTGCTGAGCCTTGTCTTGTTTCTTTTGAGTTTAGCTTCTTATTTTTGCAAAACATTGGATTTCTGGTAATTTGGTTTCATAAGGCTGAACCCCAGCGAAGGTCACGCTTCATGCAACGGAGTCATGTGTATTTTTGGCTGCGCCTGTGTAAGGCGAGCCCTATAGACATACATCGAAAGAAGCTCCAGGTCCACATTACACCCTCACAGATCCTCGCAGTCTTTACGCTGTTCATTCCTGATCTTGGAATTCACACCCTTTAAGCTTTAAACTAAGGACGCCTCTTCTCGTCTCTTGATCTCGGACTCCAGGGCAGGCCTCCTCCATGTTGCTTCGCGCCTCCTCAGCACGTCTTTGAGCCTGCCAGGCAGTCAACACGAGCCGTGGGAGCACAAACATCGCTCTGGCGAGCGCTTCGCCAAACACTCAACATCTTGGGGGGGTCAAGTGCGACGGTTTCTTCTGGAAACTGTTTGTGTCCCCAATTTTGTAGTCACAATTCACCGGAATATGAGTTGGTGTGTACAAAATGGTAGGATTTGCAAGGGACTTTTTATAACACGATGTGATGTTCGTAATTGATGCCTTTACAAACAAATGTTTTATACTACGAGTGTGCTGCTTTATTCGATGTTTGAAGTTGGAAAGATATCTAAAATGCGGGAGGTGTAGCCAAGTATCTTGTATTTGGAGACGCTGCCCTACCAGCCAAAAGTGTGACGTGGAGTCCCAGCATTTCATAGAGACAAGACAGCTAAAACCACATCAGCTTGTCTTGGAAGGAGACGTTGAATCCAACGATTTCATAGTGTTAGTAGACCGCACTGGGCACAAAAATATTGTAAATACTACAAATGGGGGGAAGCAGCAAAAGAATAGCGTACATTCTTTTTGTAAAGACTCGGTGGTCTCAACGTAGTGGTCTTCACAAATTATTATCATGCACTATGATTCTAGAGCCGTGTGCGGAACAAAGAGAGAATGGGGTAATCAGGTTTGCAGAATGGATGGCCCCCCAAACAATGGACAGCCTGAGAACAAAAATAGGAAAGGTAAGAGGGTCTGTCATTTTGTAGAGCCAGGACACTCTCAGCAAAGAGCAGTCATTTTGTAGAGCGAGGACACTCTCAACAATACGGACCATCGTTTTGTAGAATCTGTGGATCATGTAGGCTTCAAAATGCTTCAACCCAAAGAGAGATCCAGGAGATTCGGAGATTACAATAGAATAGAGCAGATGAGACTGTGACTAGATCATACTAGATCGGAGTACGTACAAAGAGCAAACAAGAACTATATATCATTTTGTTGAGACCATGTTGCACCAGACTCAGTGAAAGCTCTATATCAAGAGTAAGTATAAAGAAAACGAAAGAACTATTTTACAAAGTGGCAGGAGTATAATTTTAAAGTTTGATCGTCAGTACAAATCCAATTCACAACACACGACAACACCTGGGTTAAAAAACTGTATTGATTTCCTCGACACCCCGTCCCTGCTGTACAAAGTGTTTGGATGGCTGTAGCTTCCTTTTACAAGATGGCCGTGCATCCATTTAACTTCTAACGTGATTCCTCTACAACATGATGGCTGAATCGTCACACTTTGAGGTTACTACAAAGTGACGGGCCTCACCGGCACTTCAGAGATCTAAAACAAAACGTTCTATGCGGGCCCCAGAAGGCCAAACATTTTATTTGGGGAATGCTGACCTCTATCAATTCAGGAATTGTGGAGTGACTTTGGACCTCGATTCCAAACCTCTTCGGCCGTCTCCCGCGTCCAATGTCTGCGTATGTGTGGCTCCAGGTCTTCCCATCGACCTCATGGAGCGTCTCAAAGGTGGACGGCTCCGGCCTCGTGCCCGAACGACCGGTGAGCGCGAGATGCGACGACGACGACGAACAGGTCGGAGCGCCCGTTCCGTGCAACCATTTGGTCGGGATGTCGCCAGAACCACTCGAGGTGGTTCGGGTGAGATCTTCGTGGAAGATCACAGGTTGAAGAGATCCGGTTGCGGAGTTCCGAGTTTAAAGAAACATATAGAAAGATCAGAGATTGAGAGGTTGAAGATGGTTGAAGATCCTGGAAACACCAACAAACATGTCCTGCCCATTCTTTTACTCACCTATATTTTGGAAGTAGATGTTGTTTTAGAATGCTGTTGGCAGTCTATAAGACTTCTGCTTGCCTTATGTATGCAAGCTTTTCCTCTCTGGCGGCTGGTGAACTGGAGCGTAACCTAGTCTGCAGCATGTGGCATACTGTAAACAATCAACAAAGAAACCAGTGACTACTGTCAATGACTCCGCAAGCAAAAGCAGTAACACGACACGATCCAACTTCCGGTAGCGGAACAGCCCATCTTAGGCTGTGCAAAGGCAAATACAGTAAACAATTCTTGTGCAGCTTCAAGTCTCACTCCATGAGCCTCACAACTCCTCACAATACAATCGATACAACTAGAACATATCAATCAATATGCGAAGCACTTTCCTATCTTTGAGCTCAATCAATTGAAGTGTCTGGTCTTAGCATGTTTGGATCGGGCGACTTCACGACTTGATGGAAGCTGTGCCACAAATAACAGTTGCCAGGAATATCTTTACCAGTTGCTTGATAACCTCCCTTTTGACGGCAAAACCCACCTGACACAAAGAAGTTTAAGTTCAAAACATCAATGATATTATGCTTTATATCGAGCTGCTGGATGTCCTCCATGAAGAAAGAGTCCTGCCCTCCCTCCTACCCATGTCATTTCCAGCATTCCCTTGACTACAGTCGACACAAAGCCTGAGAGTCTGACCGCGACTCCGTGCGATCTTTGGCACTTGCGGACGCCGCTGGTGTGGACATGTTCGGTGTGGCTGTGGACATGTGGGGTGAAGCTGTTGGGCGGCCGGTCGCTGTGAAGCTCGGTGGCACCACAGTGGGCGTGGCCGCGAGGGGCACTCCGGGGGGGCTCGGGAGCATGACCGGGATGGGCGCTGCAATGGATGGTGGAGCCACAGGAATGCCCGGCACGGGCGGAATCGGTGGGACCATGAAGCCGGAGAGTCGTGGGTCATATCCTGGCCGATGCAGTAAACCCTTCGCAAGTGAGAATTGCGCAGTAGGTAAGGACCTACTAATTAGGATACTATGAGCTTAACTGCTGGCATTCTGTCAATGAATTACACAATTCCCCTTGGCGCCACTGTTCCCAGTAAATTCACTCTGCTCCCATTAACCACTCCAGTGGTTCGCAAGTCTTGACATCCACAAATCCTGCGTTAGGCTGAAATACTCCGGCCTGGTCGTCCACCCCATCCAGGGTGCATCGCAAGCCTTGGCCAGCGTGTCTTCGGACTCATCATCCAAGCCATCTTCTGCATCATACTCGACAACAACGCACAAATCACCAAACATAAACAAGGCTGTCACCACAGAGAACCCTGAGTGTTCTATTTGGTTGACTTCCTGAACAACTCTGGTACCACCTGTCTCAAGTGGTCCGCCGTGATGGGCGCATGGCATGCAAAAACACAAGACATCGCAAGAACAAAACAACAAGAACATGCAAAACTCGGTACACTTGGTACGAGGCCACATGTCCACAAAATAAGTTATGAACACCCATGCCTACTAGCCACTGCAAAAAGGAAACCAGTGTTTGGACCTTGTATACTGGACCAACTCAGTCTCAGTCAACGACAAGTATATAATGGCTTTGGAATGGCAGCTTACATCATCTTACATTCACATAAGTGCAATTCCTTGGGTTCAACATGTTACGGATGCTACCAGTTGGATGATTGATGATGGTCCAAAACAACTCAAACACTCAAAGGGTACCCACACTCTGTCAACTCAAAGCTGCAGGACCAGGGTCGTTCACCTTAGTTAAGTAATCTATGTCCTTATTCTACCGCGTTCGAGGCGCATCACTCCAGTGGATGACCTTCGAACCACTTGACCTAGCTACGCTGATAAATTCTTAGAGTAGCGAACCAAACATATATTTGTTGATCGACATCAGATGAGTGGGGCGTCCCGTACCCTGCAATCGAATTACCGGTTGGCATGAACATGCACAACTGAACGTGACGATTTGGAAATGCACCCCACATGAACACACAGAACATGCTTGCATCAAAACATCCTTTTCTTCGAGTGCCTCTCAGGGCTTGACTCAACTTGAACAACCTGCAGGTCAAACATGTACCAGGAGGAACTGTTTGGCAACCATGACAAAACCGGCGTAGAACACAACCACATGGACGTTTCAAAACACATTTGGATCCCCAACAATTTGCAGCTATGATTGCGCCACACCGCTCAGCGACAGATAATCCATGGCACGTTCATGAAGGACTGTCATTGTGGCCAGTGCCACAACGTTACACAGCAAACGTGTCGTTGTATACTGCGATGCAGCCCCAACCAAATAATCCCAACAACATGACATTCAACACATGAACCTTCCAAACAAAACCAACAGTGCATTGGACGTGGCAAAATGCAATGTGTGCTTTTCTTCCGACATGTAAACCACCATGAACATAGCCTCCTCATACAGGTTGTTGCTTCAAAGAACATTCCAAAACTGTACACACCCGAACGCAACATGTGTTCAGTTAAATCTGCTAAACTGCTAAACTCTTGAAACCTGCACAGTTCCCTACAATTTTGCAAGGATGAAAACACAAATCGACGCAATGAACCTCACAACAGTCGATCAGCCTGGCCGCCGCTAAGGTCATCTAGATCGAAAGGAACCTGTAATTTGCCAGCACTTTGGCAACATGTTGCAGTGTTCCTGATGATTCAACGTTGTTCAGCACAAAAACATCGATGGTGAAGTTGACGGATGATCGTGTGGCCTGCTTGTTGCAAGGCAATCCGTGACTCAAACCTGAAAGTAAGAAACACTGCAACCTCAGCTAGCCGGACCAAATTCATTCAGCATAATTACGCCAAGAACACATTCAACATGTTGTTTCTGATGGTCACGTTTTGTTGCAGTTGTTGTTAGGAAGTGCTTGGGCAATCGAACTCTTCAAAGGTGATTTAATTAACCATGTGACAAGTCGAACATGTAAAAACTAAATCGCAGGAGTGGCCACAGTACAATTTTCCACTTTCTTTTGTCGCCCAGCTGCTGCAAGCAAGCACGACCTACCATGTGCTCGCTGCTTGCCGTCTGAGACATGACCGAGCTAACCTACCACATTATCGTATTGACGTAGCTACAGTGAAACAGGGCACGTGGGTCAGCCATCAAGGTCCTGTATGGTGATGTCAGACATCAACATCCTCTCGGCTGCTCCAGCACGCATTCGACAACCGATATATATATATATAAGTATATAATATATAAACACGCCCAACGAACCCTGCCAAAGCTCCACCCTATAGTTCGGTTTCTGCCTACATAACGGTACCTGGCATCCTGCCTCTATAAGCTCCTTAACAAAGCACACAGGGGCAGCGCTTATGCCCCAAATCTGCTACGCAGGAACCTAAACATGTTCAATGTGTCCTTGATGCACTGCAGCAACCGTGGTTACATGCTTGGGGGTTTCGTAGTAGTTTTGGGACAGTACACGCAAAAGACCTTGCCTCAGGCGGCTAGGGGTGTAGCTTGGCAACCTTTGCCCCTTCTGCTGGGTCAGTTTGTTTGACTCATCATTCAACCTATGGTCCGCAAAATGCATCTTGTTCTCAAAAGAGGAAGAAGCTTACTCAGGTCACCAGCTTGGCACATTAAAGCAATAAAGAGATGGGAGCAAGGTGAAAGAACCTCACGGTTCATTCATAGTAGCTGCAAGCGATCAAGACCGGCTTTTCTTCAGCCCAAACCGAGGTGCTGGATAGAAATCAGGAGGACACATGAGTTTAACAGGTCTACAAAAAACAACAGAATTACATAATGCATTGTATACAGAAAGCCTTAACCCAAGAATGTGCCCCTGGATAGAACGACTTGGTCTGCAAAAGCAAACTAGACAACTAACTAAACAATGATGACAGGCATTGCCCAGCAAAGACCCATCAGCCCAAAGCAAATGATTCTGATGTCTCGATATCTTCTCTCCAATCCAACGGGTTGTCAGGAAGATGGGAATCTATCAGTTGTTTTTTCTGCATTCTAGATGTTTCTGTGTTTGTTTCATGTGCGGTACAGGTACAGTATACGTACATATACCACGTGAGCAAACACGCGCACAAATGCCCATCGAAAGCCATAATACTGCCTGCAATAGACAAACCAGGCGGCTGCAGTATGGGTCCCTGCTCACCAACGGCGTCAAGTACAATATGCTCAGTAGGGGACTTCAATTCTAAGCTTTATGGGGCTATCACATACACCGGGTCAGTCAAACAGGTACCCATCCCTTCCGATCTGCTAAGAGCACCCCGAAAGTTCAAGAACTTCACCCCAGCCGAGGCTTCAAAAAACAATTGAACTCATCCGCCAAAACATCCTCTCATCCTCTTGATAAGAACAAAATTAAACAAACAGACTTATAACTTATCAGTATGTAATATAGAAGTGTTAAACAAAGAAAATAAAAAAGACACACACACACAATTTAAACGTTAACAACCCCAATGTTGATCACTGTTCTCAACTCGACTCCACCGACCAAAAATTGACTCGAGAATTCCTCCCCCATCACCCGCCCAGCACGTGCAAAGAAAGCGTTCCGTTCCTCAGATGGTGAACTCCAAGAGGTACGTGGGCATCGCCTCCCCAATTCCAAGCCCAGCCCAGAGCCCCTCAAGCAAGCCCCCAGTTCGTCCATGTTTCGGACCCGATGGACAGATTCGGACTTGGCGTCTTCAGAAATCGTACATGGCATGGTCCTGGAAGTATGTAGGGGTTATCCTGGAGGGTTTTGAACCAAAGGGAGTCCTGCACCAGCTGGTTCAGACCATCCAAGCATTGGTCGCCCCCTCCCAGATTTGAATCCAGCTGTCCTGTCTCCAAATCAAGAAAGCACTGTGCCCAAACTGTTCACAAGGGTGACCGCAAGTGTTTCAATGTTTCACAAACAAAAACAGCCCATTGATCCTTTGACCACCGCAGGAAAGGCCATTGATCCACCATTTCACAATCTGCTTCGGTGCGACTCGACGATGGCCGGCCGGTGTGGCACGGAGCAGCTCGGCTCAGCGCAGTGCACCTGGAAGTCTCGGAAGATGCAGAAGTTCACGGGGCAAAGGAGGTCGTCCACGGTGCTGTCATAGCCTCGGTTGATCCGCGAAAACATCTTCCCAGGAACACGCTGGGAGTTGACAGCTGCGGGGGGAGTTGAAGCAAAAAGCAGGTGGAGGTGGGACACAGTCGCGAGGCGGGATCTTGCGGGAGTCTGACAAGCCGGCAAGCAAACTCGTTTGTGGAAGATATAAGGACTGCTGACAGAGCAAGTTTAAACTCTGGTTTCTATGTGGTTGTGTGCTGGAAAAGGGAGACCTCCCAACCAATGGGTAGGACGTCTTTAGAGGCTTCCTATTCTAATACAATCATGTGGGTGCTTTCCTGTGAGGAGGGTGATCCTCAGACTCTGCATCGTGAGGTGGGAAGTTGGAGAAGTCTGCTGACTGGGATAAAGTAAGATACGGTATAAATAAGTACTATTTCATATTCCTTTTGCCCTGGATTCGGTCGAATTCACCAACCCACCGACACCACTGTCACAAAGCCTCTCTCAGTCTCTCTCACTTTTTTCTCCATCCCTCAAGCTCGGGATCTCGCCATTCGGCATATCGTCTCATCATATCTGACTTAAATTTATTGCATTATATCTTCATGAGCTCTTACCTTGGGTACTCACGCGCCCTTGAGGAAAATTTGAACATCATCACAACAAATCAGCACTTTGAAGTGAGTAACTGATAAACTTCTGGCTGTGGGTCGAAACCCGTGGGCAGAAAGGTATACCAGTTCCACCGGTGAAATCGCCCGTCTGAAGACGGAAGTAGCTCAGGCTCTCCGGCGGATCAGGCCTTCTGCGTCCTTCACGGGCGGCCTGGGCGGTGACGCCACGGCCATGGCACCCGGAACCGGCGGTACCCACAACCGCACTAGGAGCACATGCTCCGTTCGTAGTAAGGCCAGGAGCCCCGTTCGTAGCGTCCTTGCTCCGTTCGTAGCGATGCCCTTTGCTCCTAGTAGCTTCTTGTTCCTATATAGTAGTAAGGCCAGGAGCCCCTAGGCCCCTAGTAGCGCTCTGCCCCTCGGGTCCGATCCCCTCACGAGCAGTCCATGCGACATCATGTGAATGACATCACAGTGTTTGAATTCCATGGTCAATTAGTGGGGCGGGTGAAGTGCACTGGGGTGGCTGGTCATTCAGAGCTCTTCCATGTTGAAATGGCTGCTTCGGACCAGATGTTTTTTGAAGCTGGCTGTTCCAAAACGGATCCGGTACTACGGTCAACTTTCTCCATTGACTGTAGAATATGTCCAGGCTATCTTCATCTATGTTCTCAACTCTCAAAGATATGCATATTGTTTCACGAGTCGTGTGGAGGACAGGCGTCCTTCAAAACAGGCCCTTGTCAAGAGACAATCACACACCCATGCACAGCATGCCTCTCATGGGGCCAGTGACGTGGATTTCTGAGTTGTTTACTTCGCTTCACAGCACTGAGTCGACGCGCTTGGACCCTTAGACCGGACGAGCCGGTTCCGGAGTCCACCAAGCCGTCGGGCTCCACCAAGTCCGGAGAGCCTTTGGCCCAGGCCTCGGCAAGATCGATGGCTTTCGGGTTCGGTGGCGAAGACAGAAGCCACTAAGCTTGACATGGTATCTTGACATAGGGTTCACCCCTTGCAAAGCAGTGACGGTGAGGTGTATGCATTGCAGCACAGCTGAGCAGCCAACGCCCACGAGAACCTTGGCAAAGAACACCGTGCGCCGCTGCCGCTTCCGGTCACAGAAGCGGGTGCCTGGCTAGCTGCACTCACTCTCCAGCGGGAAAAAACTGATCTCTCACTCCAATGACTCTTTGAATCTCTTTCAGGAACAGTTATTGCAGGCAAGTGCGCCTTTTCTCGGCTTCTCACATTCAAAGGATTCAAAGGAGCTCTTGGTTCCGGCGGGCCCAAAAATACGCCCAAACAGAGCCAAAGGGGCTGTATGCCGCAGAGGCGGAAAAATAGGAACCATGGCCCAGCTTTGTACCTCAGAGTTCCGACGACTGGGCGAGTCGTTTCGTTGAGCCAACTCGGTACTATAGGACTCTTTTAGGGGGGCCTGGTCAGCCAGGTGCCGAATCACTGGGAAACTGAAGATGAAGTGTCGAAACGATAACAATGACAATATCCTTCAGAATCCTTCAGCTATTCTTCTGCAACCACTTCATCTCCAAGGTCTGCCCAAATGAACAGTGAAATCATTACAATATCCCACAAATTATGAATTGACAGCTCCGCAGCACACGGTCCTTCTAGGTATCGCACCATGCCTCCTACCAGAGTAGGCCCGGTTGAAGCCATTCAGTACGATGTTCGGCACACACCTGGCAAGGTTGAGCGCACCTGCCAAGGAAATTAACATAGGAAAACGTGGGTTTAGGCAATATCAACGAGGTGTTGATGCGAGAGCTGTGAGCAGCACATATTTCTGTAAGGACGAGGAACCTTTCAAGGATGCCCGCAGCCCGCCAAGTGTAGTATTCAGTTAGAGGAGCTGAGGACTATTGCAACTTGCAAAACGTAACGGGGACATTATTCACATGGGGTTGATTGACATTCCACTAAGAAGCCACAATAACTTATTTGGTGAAAACTATGACATATGCTGGCTCAGCTCTGCCCAAGCAAGATCAAGCAAGCATGTTTCTACGGAAAAGAGTTTGGCAATTTCCTCCTCTTTCCTGCAGTCCAGTCCTTGCTCGTTATTGCATCTTACCCACCAGGAAACTTCCTAAAGGTCCCATTATAATGTATGACAACTTCGTGCAACATGTGCAAGCAATTATTCAGTCATCCAAAACAAAATAGATCCTACATGAACCAAGCACCTTCAAGGGATGCACATCGCATGCAAAATTTGGGGTTGGTTTCTTTGGTCACTTCTCTACATGCTACAGGGGACCAGCTGGTGGGCCGACTTCAGGGCTACAACCCCAGAATAGCAAGGCGCAAGCCTCTGACTCAGAGTTGAGTGGAGCTTGCAATGAGCGCAATGAGGCTGTTGTCTGAGGATCTTCTCAGAAAGAGGCAGTGCTGGCAAACAAATGTTGAGGATTCTTTCATCTGGACAATCTACTTGGAGGATACTCATCTTGAACAACTACAATGAGTTCACAACTGAGTGCTTTCAGACCCAGCGTGACACCACGTATCTTTCGCACAGCTGGGTCTTTACTTTAGGTCCCAGGCTTCTCGGAATACGAAAGCAGTCTTACTCTACGCACATCTTAATGACGCATCTGCGCTGGGCACACATGAGACCCATGAGGAATTTGCTGATGCACAAGTTCCACCTGACCTTTGCTTATAGAAATACTTAGTCCATCTTGGACGGTTTTTCTTGCGGTGCTCGTGACCGCCGGTGTACCGTTGTCTGTTTGCCTTCCTCCCTTCCATCACCGTCCACCCGGTGTGCTTTGCCACACATGCCCGGGAGCACTCGCTGGACGTGCCGTGCCAAAGGTCCAACCTGGGGCGTTGGGCGTGTGGCACCCACCCGCCAAATGGGCTCGCCGGTGGCGCCGGTGCCCGGTCCGGTGCTCGGTGCCCCAAACAACGACGACCGGAGCTCGAGCGGAGCTCGGGGTCCCGAGCTCACAATCGCTCCCCATGGCCTCTCGTACCGCGGAGTACACGCCGGCCTGGACGACAGGCAGCGATCTGGAGTTGAGGACACAGTAGAATGGCGGACCAGTTTGTTGGAGCAATATATGTGGGTGAACTGTGTTTGCTGTAAGTCCAAAAGTGAGACTCTTACTGTTGTGAACCGTAGTCTCATGATGTCTCACGTCCTTGACCCGATGACTTTGAATCAAAGATTTCTCTGTGGCCCTGCAGCCGGCCCACTTCCAGTACGCGCCCTGAAAAGGCCACGCGGTCCCTTTTGCTGGCTGTCTCTGCGGTCTTTCTACGCACAAAACGAGTTGAGATGTGCACTCAACTGGTCTTGATATTTGCACGGCCACCTGACGCTCAACTCTCTTGAACAGCGAACCTTTTTACTCCTTGGAGCGTTTTGGGATCATGTCAATGCCCCAACTAGCATCTGTTCATGGTTGTCGATGTTCTTTTGAGAGCAGCGCCGGAGCTTTGCCTGAACCACTGGGTCTTGCGGCTTTACTTGATGAAACTCACCCAAGTCATCCCACGTCGAAAATGCTTCGAGATGGACAGTCCACTGGCACCATTAAAAAAATGTGGTTAGAAACCAGTGTGGGACACTGTGCAGTAGTCTGAATGCCACCACACATGTGTCTTAAAAAGAATATGCCAAGGCGCATTTAGGGCTTTGGCTGCAGAGTCATGTGAGTGTCCACTCATGAAAACAAAAAACAATATGTGTCAAACTACTGTATCCTGAATCATCCTCAACATGTGAAGGGCATGACGCTCCGCAAGCTTTCAGCCTTCCGCCGCTCACGGATATACCTCTCCGGACCAATAACGAAGGAAAAAATGATCCAGAATGGGCAGAATCTGGTGCATTTCTGCTTAACACAGAAACAAAGTCTTCAAGTCAATTAGGCCATCTGATGTTAGACTTCCAGTGGCACCTGATGCGGGAAAATGCCCTTCAGAATGACAGCAAAGGTGCCTTGCATGTGTACAAGTATGTGCGAGTAGCAAGCACCGGAAGTCAACCTGCCAAATCAGTTTGTGATTTGTGCGAGAGCCAACAGTAGTCTGTACAGTGTGGATGTACTGAATCTATTGTAGCGAGTGCATCTCTGCTGCACCATCAGCACCCATACTAAGCGTATCTAAGTCATTCTGCGTCCACGTTTTTCAACATCCAGTCCTCATACACAATGCGCCCACAGAGACACTCGAAAGACACTCGAGCTCACAGTTTGCATCACTTCCCAGCGATCAAATTGGAGCACTGGACTCCGCCCCGGATCTACAAGTGCACCTCTACCAACTGGCCCTCACTGGAAAGTGAGAGCTCCAAAGCCTGCTGATTGCTCCCGCTGATTGCTATCTCCTCAGGCTCAAGACGAGGCTCCACGCTCCGGAGCGGGGACGTCGAAAAAAAGAGTCCAGGACTCGACCAACTCTGAAACCATGAAACCCAGGTGCCGAGGAGGGACGTTTGGGGTGCCGAGTCTTCCTGCCAAGAGTCCAAGTGCTCTACAATCTCTTCAGCCTTCCCCAGGTCCTTGCATCGATGTGAATCCCGAATCTGGGCAGTCGGTTGCAACCAAGCATACCTGGACCATCCTGTCTGGGTGTCCAATGGAGATCCCGGATAGTAGTGGAGGGTAGTCCATTGGTGACCCAGTGGATGGTCCTGATATATAAATATCAGTATGTACCTTGAGTCTCCAAAGACCCTTTTTTATGCGTTTGTGTTTTGGGTCAAATACCTTTTGCGTCTTTGCTCGAAAAACGCGTTTTCAGAGATGAGGACTCAAAAAAGGTACAGAGTGAATCTTCATCCGGACGCGTCCGGTGCGGACGCTGAAAGACGCCTTTTGGACGCAAAAAGACGCGTTTTGGACGCCGAAAAAAGGTCTCAGGACACTGTCTACGGAGGATCTGACAGGGCACAAACAAAAAAGGAACATTTCGTGACATATGCAAAAAATAGTGCTTTCTTTCAAACACATCTTTTTCTTGGAAAGGCAAAATTAAAAGGGTCATTGGCGAGACTCAAGGTAGATTACAACAGCTTACAACACAGGTCGAAGCAACTAGCCCCCCAGTCTGATCAAGAGTGCTAACTAAGGCTGACTAGTGCACCAGATGCTGTGTATTCCAGCTGTCTCCTCTCATGCTTCGTGTCAGCCTAAGACATTCATGCCATGCACGTGCAGGTCCACGGTCCAGGTCCTTTGCCAGCTGCGCTGCTGTGCGTCCCCTCGAGGTCTTCTGACACGGATCAGCTCCAAACGCCAGCAGGAGACGCACCATCCTCTGCAACAGGAAATGCCGCGGCGCCGCGGCCGTTCGGTTCAGTCGGGATCTTATTGCGTCATTTAGAGATCTTCAGAGCAGGGTTTTCAGGAGTTCGAAAGGCCGAGGATTTTGAGACACGTAATCATCCCAACTTGGTGCAAATGAGCAGCTCGTCGTTGTTCTCCGCCACCGCATGGTGAAGAGCGTACATGGTTTCTGTCCCTCAGGTCAATGCACAAAAACCACTGGCATTTAGCAATGAATCTCGCACAACAACTTGGCAAGTGTGTGCGTGCTGGTTTTCCCCTTTCTTAGGTTGGAGGCCATCGCTAGTAGGTTGGAGGCCATCGCTAGTAGGTTGGTTTGCATGCTGGCTTTCCCCTTTAGGTGCCATGCAAACAAGCTCTGGAACATGCTTTGAGGCCCGCATGAACCATCTCAACCAGCCAGTGCAGTTTGTGCTGACCGCAACACACCAAGTCAATCACTTTTGGTGGGCTCGCGGAATAGAAATACATACACGCACATTGAAATCGGGGTCACACACGGGTTTTGGTGGGACAAATTGTTGGCAAAACCTGGCGATTGAATCTGCAGAATCAAAGTAGCCTCCTGTGCCTCTGAACTTCTTGACACAGCTTCTGGTACCCATTCTTTCTTCCAGTTTTGCATGCAATCGAAGGACTCCAAAGAAAACAGCCCTTGGGCAGTTGGGGCTTGTGGATGTTATGCAAGCCGTGCCGTCTCAAGAAGGCCTGGAGCTGAGCCTGGTGAGCTGAAACGAAGTTCCGTCTTGCTATGTCTTCTCGGAGCACACGAGGCAGCTGGCAAAAAAACAGGTTTCACTACACATGCACATCGTATTTTGACACATGGTCCCTTTGCCCCCAAAAGACAAACATGCGTCTCATTGAACAACGTGAACATGTCAACATGTCCACTTTGCTTGCTCAATGCATTGGGAACAAGACAACACACATAGATATACTATGTTCGTGCAAGTAGCCAGCCCAAACAACCTCGCCTGCTGCTCAAGTTCTGCTGCCCGTCTGCTCTCCGCGCCTGACGGTGGCCGAAACACGCGAGAAGCCGCCACAAGAAATGGCATCAATCACCCCAGGCACATCAAATGCCTTGGATAGTTGATGGACTTTAGGTGAGGTCATGTGGATGAAATCCATTCCAGCCCCCTTTCTTGGCATACTCCCTAGTGACCGCTCCTGACTCATGAGTTCAGACATCGGACCCGCCACACTTCTAAAACATGGCGCTTACAAGTTGAGTGGAAGAACCGAGAAGAGCCCCCAAGAACTACAAACATCCGGAAACGCGCGTGGCCAGGAGCCCCTTGTAGCTTCTTGTTCCTAGTACTAAGGCCAGGAGCCCCTAGTAGCGTCCTTTATTATGCTGCTGGTGAGTTGCTGGATTTCTTGCTGAATGTTCGAAAACTCACAGGGCGAGGCAACGTCTTCGTCGTACTGGACGAGTTTGTGGAGCGTTCCTGGCTGGATCCCGACAAGACACAGAACTCCATGTGTTTTTTCTCACCAAACATCCACCAAAGTTCTGCCACATTCCTGCGTTGGAGAGGGGGCAATCCCTGGTACTTCCTTCGCATAATTGGTCCTAGAACCTGAGTGACCTCTATTTTGGATCACCAAGCTCTCAAACAATAGGCTTTTTCATGTTTTGTCTATCAAAACTGGGGTCGAAGTTTTCCGGTTGTCCAACTCTGAGTGCCCCAACTCAGTTGCCAAGGCGAATCCGATGTCCAAAGTCCAACGACTGTGCGATCGAACGACGTAGCGATGCACTTGTTCCTAGTAGCGTGGCACTTGTTCCTACCAGTAAGGCACTTGTTACTAGTAGCGATGCACCAAGTGACATGATCGAAACTTTGGTGCTCTGCCCTGCAAAAGCTCACACCCGACTTCCGTTCATGGCGGGCCGCGCTGCTCAAGCGGACCACATCCATGGCGCGCCTTAGTTTCCCAATGCAGACAAGTCTCCGTTGAGAATCATTGACAGCTATGACTGGTCATTAATCGCTTCTAGGTTGGAGGTTATTGCTAGTAGGGGGAGGCCATCGCTATTCGGGGGAGGCCATTTTATTAAGTCCAAGAATGATAGCACGGCTGATTCACACAGTCAACTTTCCTACCAGGTCACCAGGTCACTAGTGCCTAGTCGACCGTGACCTCCAGGCAAAGGACACGGTCGAATACAAGCTGTTTGTCCATTGAATAAGGGGCCATATCATTGAGGTGGGTTGAACACCCAACTGCATCAAAAACTGAGAAACAAACATGTCAGTTGTTCCAGGACTCTTGCAAAATCTCGAGATAAAAACCAAAAATAACATGCGGCATATGGTGACAAGTTGCTCGGCGTTGGCGATGTGGAATGCATGAGGCATTGCTGCTGATACCAAGGAGTGATAAAACTACTCATGAGAAACGAATCGCATGCCTCAACTTGAGCCAAAACATCAAGTGCAGGCCAACAGTCACCAATTCTTCGACCCCGACCATGCAAAAACCAGGGATCCTCTAGTCTTCAAGGACATGTCAGGTGCAGTTGTTGTAAAATTGTTATTATGCATCAAAAGGTTGACCGTGATGAGCACCCCGATCCACCTCTGGATCCTCGACCTTGTTTTGGGGAGAAAAGTTGGATTCAGTAGGCGGCCGGCCACTCTGATTGAAACATGTTTTCGAAAAGGATTGGGAGTGCTTGCCCTCCACTCCTCCAATGGAACAATGCTGCTTTATTCCAGTCTCTCCAATTCTCATCAATTTGACAACATAATGATTCAACATGCTGATATACGAGTGGCAACCGATCTTCGACCAGTAAACAAACGCTGAAACTCGGTACACATAGTGAAGCAAGGCTGGAGCGACTGTCATGCCTTGAAGATGTATGAGGAGAATTGATCACTATCCTCAGATCTTTACAGGGTTGGTTTCATTCACCACTGTGAATAGTCACATCATCATTCACCTCGTGAACCCCCCCGTAGACGTGTCTCCACCAATCGGATCGATCCGGACCAATGTGGCGTTCTCCACACGGAAGATTTCCAAGACTCGAGCTTCAGGCACCTGGCACTCTAAATGGTTTAAAGTCCAAAGATGTTGGAGGCCACCGCTCTTAGTTTGGATTGCATTCCTATTATGTTAGAGGCCATCGCCCATCGCTCTTAGGTTTAAGGTTCAAAGAAAACAACTGCATAGTTAAAGTCTAAGACTCGAGGTCATCATGTATGATGTGTTCACCGGAGGAAGGGGAAAACAAAGACACCTACCGGGCGAGATGAAGCCAACGTGGTGTGAACTTCAAAAGGACGAACCCCTGGCCGGGTTTTGGATGGTTGACTGGTCTATGTTCCGAACCTTGGTCGTTGCCTGGGAGATCCCCCCTTTTACACACCCATATCCATCCGAAGGCCCTTTTCAAGGGGTAGGCGAAAGGGGCCGGCTGACCTCCTGGTTCGAAAGCTCTCGAAAGTGCCAAAACCCCTATGCCGGCTATGGAAAGACGTCTTCGGGGTTCTTGATTGAGTTCTTCCAACATCTTCCAACCTTCCTCTCCAAAAACAAACCATCGCAAAGATGGTATAGCACTTGCAAATCTTTGCACAACTGTATGTTTTACTAGGTATTACTCGTGCACATGAAACAAGAAAGTGTTAAGACCATCGCTTCCATGTTCGTAAAAAATAACATTGGACAAGTACAATAAATATCAGGGCACCTGTGCGCAAAAGAGAGATCTGACATGTTCCAAGTCGTTGTCCTGCAGAGATGAAGGACCCTAATTAAGCTTGCAGCTGGTCTCTACATGGAGTGGATTGCAGCTCAAGATCCCATTTCGCAATCATTCAGCATTTGATCACAACATGATACACATGTCGATATTATATATTTAAGTATAAATATCTATATGCCTGAATTTCCAATTTGAGACCATCGTTTCTTTTTGATTGTCGGAAACGCAAGCACCGAATGCTTGGTTTTGAGCCATACCGACCTGCCTGGGATTCTCCCTCATAACGAATGATTTGATGAAGGTATCTCAGTGGAACACGTCAGGTCTTCTGATCGATACAAAGCGATGAGGTGTGCTGTGTAGCAATCTACATTCCCCCTCAAACAATCCAAAGGATCACAGGACACTCAGAAGTACAGATTGTACAGGTTGCTAAGACTGTAAATTTGCTAGCTGCTACACCCCAACATATTACATAAACTCCTGGTAGAGCAGGGCCATGGGCACGGCCGAAAGCATGCGAGCACCTCAGCAATGGCGAACGACGGCCTATTGGAGTTCGCCAAGTGGATGTGAGACGATGTCCAAACCAAGAGCAAACGAAGGAAACCTCATACTGTCTGTTAGTTGGGGCACCCCTCCCGACATGTTTCCACCAGATCGGATAGATATTGGCTAACTATATAGATCTTGGCTAACTCGCGTCCACCAGACGACGAAGTAGATACAAATTTGGTGCACAAATACTCTTTGGCAATCACTTGTCTAAAACATCTCGCGGGTGGACAACATGGGGTCACGCCATCAGCAGTGGTCTTTTTGGGGCTACGACTTTGATGATCATTATCTCCAGCCCTATTGATGATTTCGTAAATATAAAATGTCTTCTGCTTCTTTTAGCTTTCAATGCAAACCAAATGAAATAAGTTTCATTGGAGCCCGTGCTGGCTTGTCGGAGACGACAATCCCAACAACCCTCCCTGAGTGCCCGGGTGTATCATGATTTCACGGATGAAATCGGAAGAAAATCCAGCGCTCTCCCAGATGTCAGTCTGAGCTTCCAGCCAAGAAGAGGCAAAGTAACCGATTTCTCTTCCACCAGCGCCTGCGAAGCCCGACAGGTTTTAGTGCTGTTTACCATTCAGAGATCCTCGCTCTAGCTGTTTTCCATCGTCTGTGAAGGTGGCGTCGCATGAGCATTTGCCAAAACAGTTTGACAGCTTGGTTGCAAAAAATATGTGTTAATAACACTATATATACATATATGTTATCTATTCCTTTTGAGTTTGAGGGGGCCTAATTTCTTTCTGAGGCCGCAGCTACACTTTCAACATAGCACATATCCAAAACCGCAGCGACCTTTGGAAGGGGCCGATCGCTTTTCCAGCTTTCCGCCAGCATCGCTGGATTCGGGGTGCCCAAGTGATATCACAGGATATTGCTGCGATCCTTAAATCAAGATGATCATCCAGCTTCCAGATTCCACTACTAGGAGCAAGAAGCTACTAGTAACAAAGGGCTAGTTACTAGGAACAAGGGCATCGCCGCTATTAGTATATAGCTATATAGTTTGCTACTCAAATACATCCACGAAAGATGATGTCTCCGGCCTCTTCACTGAGGTGTCGGCCTGTCGGACAGTGCTATCGCATGAGGACCGTGAGGACCGGTTGAGTTTTGGTCTTTCCATGTCCGATGTGGTCCTTAATGTAGACTCTTGACTCATAAACCCCCCCATCATATGAAGAGGATTTCCAATTCAAATGCATGGGTTTATTGATCAAGAGTCTATACATCTTCAGGGGCTGAGATGTCTGGACGGAGGCACTGGATGGCGCTGGGAAACAGGGACCAATTCCATCGCTCACACATGGATCTTGGAACGCGGACCCTTTTGCTTCGACGAATCCGGTCCCCAGAAATCATGAAACGAGGCCGGCACGAAGGGGCCACGTCTGGGACTGGGATTCCAGGCTCTTCTCTGCCTTCTTCTCCGTGGAAGACCTGCAAACGGTTCACTTTCCGTAGTGGGGTGTGTGGAGATCTCACCTTGACCAAGACTGAGATAGAGTCTGGTGATTAGTTGCAATATCTATATCAGTCTAGCATGGTCTAGGTCCTTGGACTTGCCCTTCGCCAAATGAACGAACTGCAAAGGACTTCTCCAAAGCCTCCAACGGGGGGCAATCCCAGTGGCGAGTTGGACCGGTCCACTGCTCAGGTGTTGGTCGAACGACCCGCGAATGGACCGGAAACCAGGCATCTCTTTCACCACAGCTTGTTCACGTTCACCTTCGAGCCTTGCTGTCCAGGAACCGGAAGAAAAAAGCAAACAGCATCAAACTTACTCCCCATGAAGAGAATTCACCACCCAGTTGAGGAAAATACACAGCCGAAGCAACACCAGGGTGACGCGTTTCGTCTCACGTCTCGTCCTCCGCCGAGACGTGAGACGAGACGCGGAACGCCGGAAAGGAGTCCTACAGCAACGTCCTACAGTCCTCGGCGGGGTCCTACGCCTTGGCACAGATCGGTACACCTGGGAACCCAGCAGGACATATACCGATACCTGGATCTTCCAACCTTGCAACAAGTTCTGCCAACATGGGCTGGTTTTGGAGTAGAAATCACATGTCAAACATGTTTGCAGAGTTGGATGATCCAGGTAAGTAGGTTCATTCATTGGCATTAACATATTGTACCTGTCTCATTGTTTCAGTTGGCAAACACGACAGATCTCCGAATCAAATTATTTGCACGTGCTATTCATCGAACCTATACAGGATTGTCAACACCCCCGTTGCCAGGTGACCTCTGCACGCGACTCCGTGGTGGACTGGCCTGGCGGACTGAGATCTTCTTGCGGACAGCGCGAAAAGCCCACCCCGATGTGGCGGACAGGTCAGATGTAAATGCGATGGACATGCCTCACGTGTTCCTGATGTGGTGCTTTTGATGCATGCCCATTATTTCATCAGTAGCAAAAAAGTCTAGCATTATCAGCTGTTGGCATTGTGCAATTTGCCAGTTATAGTCATTAAAGGGCCGTTGCTGAAATCTTGAGTGTCCAGTCAAGCAGGCGATGCGGCAGTGCAGGGACGGATTTTCCATTTTCAACGATGTGCCTCGTCCAATCATTTGCCCCGCAGCTGTAGTCTGCATCATTGAGGCTCACAGCCCTGCCTAGCCTCCCAGTGCGAAGGGGCAAAATGTGCCCGGAAATTCAGTCGGTCACAGGATAACAACTCAACGATTTCATTGTTAAAAGTCTCTTTTGCAAAATCCAAAGCCGTTTCCCCATCTGCTGTTTCTGCACATGCGTCAGCCTCAGCCTCAAGCAACAACCGTACAACTTCCAGGTGTCCCTGATATGTTGCATCATGCAAAGGTGTTCGCCCACGTGTAGTTGTTGCATCTTTGTCAGCACCAGCCTGAAGCAACAACCGCACAACTTCCAAGTGGCCCTGATACGCTGCATCATGCAAAGATGTTCGCCCACGCGTCGTTGCTGCATCTTTGTCAGTTCCAGCCCCAAGAAACAATCGCACGACTTCAATGTGGCCATTCTGGGCTGCAATATTCAAAGCCGTGGCCCCATTTGTTGTTGCTGCGTCTTTGTCAGCTCCAGCCTCAAGCAAACATTGCACAACTTCTGAGTGGCCGTTGTGTGCTGCACCATACAAAGCCGTCACCCAATGTGTCGTTGTTGCATCTTTGTCAGCTCCGGCCTCCAGCAACAATCGCACAACTTCCAAATGGCCGTTCATGGCTGCAACGTGCAAAGCTGTCACCCCGTCTGTCGTTGCTGCATCTTTGTCAGCTCCAGCCTCAAGAAACAATCGCACGACTTCAATGTGGCCATTCTGGGCTGCAACATTCAATGCCGTTGTTCCATTTATTGTTGCTGCATCTTTCTCAGCATCAGCCTCAAGCAAACATTGCACAACTTCTGAGTGGCCGTTGTGTGCTGCACCATACAAAGCCGTTGCCCCATTTGTCGTTGCTGAATCTTTGTCAGCTCCAGCCTCAAGCAACAATCGAACAATTAACAGGTGGCCCTCTGCAGCTGCCGCATGAATGGGTGCATGGTAGTCAATACCACCTCTACAATTTGGATCACATGGTTTCTGAAGCAACCTTTCGACTTTGCCCGCATTATTTTCCCGACACTGGAGAAGTAATTCATTCGCCACTGCCTCATCAGCAGGACGAATGTCCAGTATTACCAGCTGCGCACTTGAGATTGATTCCAATGGCATGTCATCGTACAATTCGCCAATTGCGTCATTAAAGAGTCTTTGCTGAAATCTTGTGTGTCCGATCTGCCTTGAAAGGAACTGCTTTAGGTGCAAGATGGATTGTCCATCTTCAACCATGCGAAGCAATTCATCCTCGTCAACCTGAGTAACTGTTCTGCCAGACACAGCTGTAATCTCCATCACTGACGCGCCCACTAATTACTCTGTGTTTGTGCCCGCATGTCCATCCCAAATTGATCCGGGCATATCTGAACATTGTTTTAAAAGGTCCATATAATGTCCATATATGTCAACATCCAGACTTGAGCAAAGCGGTGGAGGACAATGTGTCCAATGTCTCGGTTTGTAAGCCTCCTGCCTGAGTGGACATGCAAAATTCTCAAGTCAAATACCAATCCACATGCGTGCACAAGGTCATCAACAAAAACCACTCAACATTGTTGTTTCCAATTTCGCCACTATTTTGTGTATGAACATTTACTGATATTTCTATATCTTCCCAGCAACATTGCTTGAGGAACCCGCCCAAGACACCAAACCACCGAGCTACGATCCTGAGCTGGGCCAAGCCCGCTCAACACGCTGGTGATTGATTGGCTTGGTGACAGGAGTGGGTGAAAACCTGGAATTGGCAGACTTTTCAGCCGCCCAAAACCTAGACTTAGACCCTCCTGAGGAAATAATTCTCGCCGCAAAATGCTGAGGTAAGTATTTCTACCGTAACTCATTCTGCCCTCAGAGAAGTGAACACGTCGTCACAAAAGAAGAATCGCGTTCTGCCTGATCTACCAAAAGAGGATACTGTTTTGGTCCGTCCATACCCTATGTGCAGCTTGGCTGCTTGCAAAATCACCTTCTTTCGTTTGCAAGTAGAGCTCATTGTTTTCAAGGCTCATGGTAGCATTTCTCAAGATGTTACAGCCCCTCTAAGGTCTCGGTTGGCATCACTGCAGGATTCGTTCACATTTTGATCACTCAACGGTTGAAAGGATCGATTGTGACAAGTCTTGCTGCCACCTGGCGTGTCCTTCAGAGAGGGTACGGAGAAAACGGCGCAAGTACGATGAAAAACGCTGTTACCCTGGGGATCATGAGATGGTGCTATAAGTCCACTCAGCCGACAAGTAGCTAGAAAATGGTAACTTATCAGCATTGACATGTAAGTTAGCTAAATCCATCTACTTACGGGAAAATCGATTTTCGACAGTTGTTCCGACATCCACTCTTCTTCACCACAGTCACCCGTTGAGAGCCTTTTCATTCTCACGGATGCCAAGTGTCAAGCCGAAGGAGCCATCTAGTCAAGATGCGATACTCAAACAAGGGCCCCTTGTGGACACGGACTGCTAATCGTTTGATGAGACCCACGTGATCTTCATCACGAAAGCAGTGTACAAAGCGAGGGTTTTCCCCATACATCACTGCATTTTCACACAAATGGTGTACGACATGCAGCTTCGGGATGAATTTCCACCTCCTGGAACCGGTCACAGCAGCTTGCACCCCAAGCCGATGATAGGCTTTGAGAAAGGTCATCCCGAAATTGTAAATGCTCCGGGCTTCCGAAGGGGACAAAATTCGTCCACTCCGCTCAACTGAATCAAACCACGCAGCCATTGCTCGTGTAGCAACTGAAGTGTTGAGTACTTCAACTGCCACCGGAGACCCAGCATCATGCATTCCCTTGATATATGTTGCCAAGCACTGATCAAGAAAAATCAGCATCAATCTGCCATTCCATGCCTTGATGGTCAAGCATGGGTTCCCTTCAGCATGCAGCATGCCACTTGTCAAGTAGCCCTGGCTGTGCCTCAGGGGTGAAAAAAAACAACAGTTTTCCAAAAATAGGACTTGTCCAAGCCAGTCCCCATAGCCAACTCTCGATATAGAAACAACCACCCACAACTTCAGTCATCTAGTTTTAGGCGAGGTGCTCGACACAATTAATGCTTGCCCACTTGCGAAAGCGACTTGAGCAAATCCTGAGTTTCTGATCCATCTGTAAGTGATCAGGACCAAAGAAGCCTTAGCTATGGGGCACGTGTGATTGCATAATTTATTAGGCTTGGACCTGACTAGGTGTATGTTTTTTCTAGTTTTAAGTCTAGGAACCCAAGGATGCCAGCAAATCTATACAAGATCCATTCAAGAATTGCAAAACACCCAGGTTGATCGCGTGCATCGAGCACCACTTCACATGCTTGATGTTGAATCCCTCCAATGAAAGGATGGGATGCGGTGTCCTGCATGACTAGTGTTTAATCAGCTAGGATCTTCCCAACACACTTAAACACTAGTACCACTAGATACCACTAGTGTTTAAAAGATATTGATGTTGGTCAACCTCCAATTTGCCACACCCCAGCCTGAAGCAAGTCAAAATAGCATCTGTGTTGGATCTCCGGCGAAAAGACTTCGTGATATTGGTCCACCTTGTTGGGTTATTATTTCACACACAGTACTCTTTGTGGGACCATAGCCCATAATCTACAACAATATTTTAGCTACTTGTCGGTCGAGTGGACATATAGCACCAGGACCAGTCATGAACCACATGTGAAAAGACATGCTTAAACATACACAAGGATCCTATTGAATCCAGCTTTGCCAGCGCAACATACATGGCAAAAATTTGTCGCCGTCCAGTGGGCTGACAGCTGGAGCGCTTCTCGAAGCCATTTCCAATCGCCACGATGCTCGGTGCAATACGCAGGACCTCCTGACAGGGCGAGCCAGGAGATATATCACACCAAGATTGTGTAGACCTCACAATATAGACAACACCCAGTACAACACCCCTCACTTTACAGGAAGTTGATGCCTGCAATTGGCTTTCCAGCACGCTTCATATGCACCGAAGGCAATGGCGCTTGATTGCAATGAGATGGATGAACTCCCCCACTCAATACCTGAGACATGTCCAGCCCAGCACAACCGAGTTTACACAGTCATCAACCCACAAGTAAAGTTGATGAAATAGAACAAAACTTACATGATCTTTCCTGGTTACATTTAGGCTCCAGCAAATGATTTCCCATATTGGTTGGAGGCTGTAGTCAGGGATAGCCAGTGAGCACCGCAAGACAAATAGTGGATAGCGACAGAGGTCCAAACCTGACTCACATGCACTACTGAAGACGCAATTGTGGAAGGTATTGCAATTCCATGCAATTCCCATATGCGCAAGACCAAATAGCTAATTCTGTTCAGGGACTTTTGGGCTCAAACAAAACCACGTTGAATGCTATGACGATGACTTTTTCACCACAATTGTTGTAACGGCAATCATCGCCATACAGACCAACAATGTTAGCATCCTTCCCAGCCCCGGGATGCTGTGGATGAAAATGCTGCCAGTACTCACGGATCTTCTGTTTGTCCAACTTCAGCTTCCCGGTGTCCTTGGACTTGGGCGTAGTATTATATGGGCCCGTGGCAGGTTTCCAGGCGGTTTAGAGCACCTAGTGGGTCACCACAGGGAAAATCAATATACATGTAATAATATTAAATTCCAAAAGAAGGCCCAAGGCTCGTAGAGGTAATGATACACCTCATGGGGAAGCAACACAGGTACGTTCATCG